AGAGAGAGCGAAAGAGAGAGCGAGCGAGAGAGAGAGCGAGAGAGAGAGCGAGAGAGAGAGCGAGAGAGAGAGAGAGCGAAAGAGAGAGCGAGAGAGAGAGAGAGCGAGAGAGCGAGAGAGCGAGAGAGAGAGCGAGAGAGCGAGAGCGAGAGAGAGAGAGCGAGAGAGAGAGAGAGCGAGAGAGAGAGAGAGCGAGAGCGAGAGAGAGCGAGAGAGCGAGCGAGAGAGAGAGAGCGAGAGGGAGAGAGGGAGAGAGAGAGAGAGGGAGAGAGGGAGGGAGGGAGAGGGAGAGAGAGAGAGAGCGCGTGAAAGAGCGATAAAGAGATGTAGACAGTTATAAGAATGCACACATGAGAATAAACATGCGCGCACGCATGCACACACAGAACGGCGAAGGATAAGAGCGGGGAGAAAAGGAAAGGAGTGAGAGAGAGAGAGAGAGAGAGAGAGAGAGAGAGAGAGAGAGAGAAAGAGGGAAGCGAGAGGGGAGGGAGACAGAGAGAAGAGATGACGGCAGCGGGAGAGAGAGGAAGGCAGAGAGAAGAGAGAGAGGAAGGCAGATAGGAGAAAGAGTAGGGCAGAGAAGAGAGAGAGACAGAGAGAGAGAGGAAAGCAGATAGGAGAAAGAAGAAGGCAGAGAAGAGAGAGGGGACGGCAGAGAGGAGAGAGAGGAAAGTAGAGAGGAGAGAGCGAAAGAGAGAGAGAGAGAGAGAGAGAGAGAGAGAGAGCGAGAGAAGCACGGACGGGAACAAGTTTGGGTTTGGGTTTAAAAACTTAAATCTAACCTAATTCTTTATTGAACTGTATGTTATTGTGTAACAGATAAAGCGAGCATTTATTATCTCCTTAGCCTGCCAGTATGTTCCACATATAAAGCGCGCATATATAAATGAATCACTTGGACTTTCGTCCCGGCGTGACAGGCTTCTCTCTCTCGCGAGATATATCACGGTCAGTATACACGTAGCCCGAAGCGTCCCCGCCATGTTCTCTGTGTTTTTGTCGTCAAAGATTAAAGCTGTGACAACTTTGAATGCGCATCATAATTACAGCTAACGTGAGTAAATAAATATACAGGAATTCTTGCTCAACAGAAGCTTCTGTAGCTGTTATAATTTCATACTTAATTCATGTCGTTCACTCGTTTAATTAAAGCATATAAATGGATTAATCAGGATAACCCACACATACCTAAATGAGTTCAATTGTAATAAACCTTTCATGCGTTATAGTTGCATAAAGATGCGTGGTTATAGTATTAAATACTTAGCGATAGGGTATAATTAACGGTAAAGTCTATATGTCTCAGTCAGTCGCTCTTGATTTATTCTCCGCTTTCCTTGTCTAAGGTCACAATAAACACAATGAATGGATATATACGCGTCAAAGTAATTTTCAGGGTCAATCGCCAGACTGGAGGACACGCAGAATTATCACGTTTTCGAGGCAGCGTCGTGCAACGATTGAGTGGTTCCCGGTCTCCAGTTATACATACAAAGAGATGCACAGAGAAACACGTAGGTGTTATTATAAAACTAATGTAGACTATTTTCTCTATGATGAAGCTTGCGCGATCTAAAAAGTCACAGACCTAGGAACTTCCGCTATGAATTTGTCGTGTATGAGATCGCTTTGGTCAGGATTGCTCTCTGATACCTATATTCATTAAATAGAAACAAGATGGGGGTATGAGTTAATTGAAGTTAATCGCGTATCTGTAAGGTCTGTCTCCCACTGTGCGTTTTTCACCTGCGTCAGGTTAGCATCCCTATAGCTACATTAGGACCACTTATCTCTTTACCAAACATTGATCGCGCAATGAAGGCAAAGAACAAATCCTATTGTGGGAGAAAAAGTGGACACAATAGGCGCATTGGACGCAAAGTACATGCAAACCCGTCACGCAAGCTCGCAAAGATGACGCAAGTTAAACGTATAGCGGGAGACTGGCCTGTGTGTAATGTACAAAATGCTGTTTTAGCTAATATAAAAATTTTAAATTTGGAGCACTATAACTTTATTGCTAGAAATGCAATGAACTTGTCATTTTCACACAATATTAACCATACATATGGGTAGTTTTCTGACGTTTCAAATCATTACTGAAAAGGATCTTTGAAATACGGAAAAAATGTATTTTGGTGCAATTCATATTTTGAGAAAAAATGGTAAAAAAATCAAATTTTTGGCCCAAAATTGTTATGAAAATCACCACCAAACCCATTAAATTTGGTATCGACTTGTAGAGAATTTAATTCCCTTTAATATGATACCACACATAGGGTGAATGGCGATTCAAAATTATCTTCAAAATTGGGCATAATTAGTTACACATGGCCATTTTTTTCAGCAGCATATTTTCAGGGTAGTCCACCTGGAAGTTGTTCAGGGAGGACCCTGAACACGTTGATACCAAACAACCTTTTGCAACATCCCATGTCTGGTTGATCCCAAAAATGGGGGTTTGCCCCCTGGGCATAGTTTATTAGTTAGTAGTTAGTAGTTACACATTAGTGGTAGTTATTATTACTTTGCATGAATATTATTTTTTATGTTAGTAATTGTACTTACCTATTTGTATCTACACCACACA